TGTTAGCCTATTGCAGTACCAACCTTCTTTACTGAGTGCATTACTGCTGTTTTTCAGAACAATGTGGGATTCAATGAATCATGAAATTGTTGGATTATAACCTGCCACATGGATGATATCTTACTATCAACTCAATAGTGAAGGAAACCTAGCAATAAAATTAGTGTTAATAACTGAGTACTGAAGCTTTGAGAGAGGTCAATACATGATATATCATCTAGTACGTGACATAAGAAACATGTGTATATTACACTATCCATGGATTCTGTCCGATTTGCAGTTTCTTATTCCTCCACTTGTATATCATCCATAGCAGCTGGATGCAGGCTGCACAGAAAAATAGGAGGCCACCATTTGTATAATGGCCTGTTCGATACCCTGGTGCTTCACTCAGCTTGTATAGAAATACTCCTGGGAAATAGTTAGTCCACATGTGAATGAGAAGCGACAAACATCTTACCAATCACCCTGCCAGCTATTATAAATGTGGAATTAAATGCAATGGCTAATGTTGTCGTATTTGTATCTCTTAGATTGCTGGTGAACCAAGCCAGTATAAGGCCCAGGGGCATCATGCTAAACATAGTTCCAAAGCAAAGCAACACATAGCACACTGTAAAAGCCATTGGTGGTAGGGTTCCTGGAAGTATGGCTGGATTAATATAACCCAAAGACCACAAAGGCCCAACCTACCTTGAACAATGAATGTTGTACCTGCCATGGCATATGATATGAGACAGCACATTGACCCCACCCAATACTTGTCTGCCACCACCGATAGCCCCACCATTGCCACAAATGAGGCAGCAGAGGGGGGCACCACAAACAACTGTGCATCACATCCCTGGTATCCAAGCCCACTGATGATTGTCGGCATGAACAGTCCTAAGCTGAGGGGTGGGATATATGAAGCCATGCTGAACAAATAATGCAAATAGAGCCACCCATCTTTCAAAGTCGATTTGGCACCATCCCACATTATCTTGTCATGCACCAAAGACTTGGACGACTCTTGCTTCATGCAGCGGATAGCGAGAGTATGATTGTTGAGTGACAACCATGACAATGTCTTGGGAAAAGATGGCCAGCAAGCATGATGGTGCACCTTCAATGAGGAACAGCCATCGCCGACCTTTCAGGCCTCAAACACCATTCAAACTTGCAACACCATATGCAATGCTTCCTCCAAATGCACTGCCAAGCATTCCAGAGGCATATACAAATGCAAGACACAGGGAATGTTCTTGACACCAATATCAACTGCAAGACAGAATTAGGGAAAAAAAAAAAAAAGTGGTAGAGAAAGTACAACTCATACAATGTGGTGAAGTAGACCACCCCAGGCACAAGCCCTAATGTGAATACATGAGTAATATGGTTCTGGTAAGCAGCTGGTGACTTACCTGCCTCAAATGCACTCAATAAAAGACATAGGAGGAGTACTGTGATGTAATTCTGGAAAGTGACTATAACCATCAGGGTCACTCCCCACCCAAGCATGAGAAAGGCAAGCCAACATGACGGTGAGAAGTACTTGAGCATGTAATTTGATGGAACTTGGAGAAGCATAATTGTCAGGTATGATGCCACTGCGACAGCGTAAAACTGGTGGGTGGACATATGTAACACTTGAAGGAAAGAGTCGCCAGTATCAGAATTGAGAATTATAGCATTGCCCTAGTATTCTATTAGCTGGTAATCCATGGTCTGAGATGGTGGCCACACACTAGGTTTGTGGCCAAACCACCAAGAGTGAATGATAGAGCAAAAGCAAGAAGAATCCAAAGGTCAAGCTGCCAGAGCAACCTAGTACCACAGGGATTCAATACGAGCAGCAGCAGAAACATACATGTCATACCTCTTCTCTGCAATGACATCTATAATGTCATCATCATCAATAGCAATTCCATGTTCACCACCTTCCTTGCTAGCTGCTACAGTTGGAGGGGCGATCAGTTGAGAAATCCTGATGGGAGGGACATGAGACAGTGTCATAACAGGAGAAGAGAAAGAGCAAAAAGAGATCTCCTCGCAGGCTGGTATTTATACCCATAGAATCTTGCATGCAGTTGTTTGCGTACTGGATGTTGACAGTCCAGAAGTAAGAAGTGCTAAATGATGATGCAAGTGACATGCCTCCCTGCCGTCATGAACTGCCATGAAATCGTGAAGTCCAGGCCGTTCCTCAGCAGTACATGGTGCAGGGAATGGAAGAGTTTCAAAATAAATATGACATCCATACAGTATTGTTATGACGCGAAGCAACGATACTGTTATTGGTTGAAGGTCCTTCGTACATGCTGCAACAATGGTGGCAAAAGTTGTTCTCTTAGGCGACGATGGACTCTGTTCAATGATCACAGTGCCAGTCTTAGCCAGGTAGGAAGGTGGGGCAAGCAAACTCAAACTCGCCATCAAACCTGCAGTTCTATCCAGTAATGGCTGGTCCATTACAGACCAACTCCTCCCTTCAGTTGTTCCAGTAACCTACTTCCCATCCATCATGCGTATTTCGGCCATTCACTTCATCCTGCCACAGATCAGATCCCCACCTTCACTATCTAAGTGACAAGCAAACATTCTCATCAAAGTTATTCCCTGTTCAAGTTGCAGTAGATCTCGCTAGGTGCTCGTCAAGAGACCTTTAGCTCCGCAGAAATAACCACCTAGGAGTAGTGACAGATATCAATTTGGTGGTAGTAATGGCCCTGACAATGGTCCAAGACAAGGACCATTGGGTGATAGTCATAGCAGCCTGCAGTCCCCCTGAGACAAATGGGGATCAGGGTGGTCATGATGTTATCTTGAAGGTTAACAACCTGGAGAGGATTGTTAAACCAGCAACTGTGACCAAAGAGTGGGCAGAACAGTCCTTCTGGAGGTACCAGTGATCCTGGTAGTATTGGATCCTGCTGGGATGTGATTGTTCTCAGGGAAGTGCACCAAATACTCAGGGAAGACCACATAATGGCGGCGGAACAACACAATGAACATTATGCTCTGTTCAGCCGGGTCATGGTTGACAGATATTGCGAAGTGAAGTGTGTGGTCATAGGATGTAGGTTGATGTCTGTCCTGAGCTCATCCGTATCCAGAAAGGAATTGGGTGATAAGCGATGGTGTGTGAGAAGCTGCCCTGCATACCTATGATCAGCAGACCATCAGGAACTGGACATCGAGAGGTGGGCTCATCAACATACCAAAGGAATTCCAGAGTAATGATGCTGTGAACAGACATCAAAACTTGGAAGAAGCACATCATGACCTTTGAATCCATCATGGTGAGAGTGACCCCCTCACTTCCGTTGAACTCGTACCCAATACAGGACACTTGATGAGAGAGAATGTGAACTGTGGGAGCTCAAAAACTTTGTCATCCAGGCAGTTGAATGACATGCTGTAGAGGTAGGTTTGAGTGTCTTGGTAGAACCTGTAAGAGGATTGTTCATCATTGCCATTCACACACTTTGAATGCAGCAAGAATACATTCATCCTTGTAGGGACCCAGTGCTACCAGCCTAGAGAAATGATTAGCATGTGTTTGGACATGAAAGAAGGTGACATACCCCATGTAGAACTAATGGACTATTGGGTAGGACGGCATGTTGACCAAGGCAAAGCCTGAGCATATGCTTGAGTCAAAAAAAACGAGAGTGCTTCACCGCTGAAACTTAAGCTTCTTCTACATGGACCCTATGCACTTGACTCTCCATCCCATGGCCACAGGATGCCAAGGGGCCAACAATAATGTGGAACAGATGCTGACAGCCCTTGCGTACATATGAATGTACACCAACTCACCCTGAAAGTCCTGACACATGAGATGACCAGCATAAGATAAGTTCCATTTACTCACTATACATAGTTTGCATTCGTGCCCATTGAAGCCAAGATAGTGACTTCTGGCTACCAGAATAACATTTCTTGGCGAAGGAATTGATGGCCACAATGACTACCCCCAGGTCTTGCATGGACCTGAGCATTCACTATGACGATGGAGTCAACTATCTTCTTCATTGAAAAAAATGAACATGCTAGATACACAAACACACACCTTCATTGTACCCCAGTGTCCATTGCTATCAATGGCCTGCTGAGACCAGATGACTGCCATTTCATGATTCTCTTGTGACTGACACTCGTCTCCACAAGGATTTGATCATATGAATCTTTTGCCAACAGGATACCGAGTGAGAATAAGTATTGGCCAAATTCACAGTGATCCAAGAAAAAGTCTCTGTCAGGAAGTAAGCATCAGGAAGAGGAATATTCCCACTGAAAGTGCCAATACACATGGATTGGCAGAGAAAAAGCTCTGGGTGTCATGGTGGTTGAAAATAAGAATTGTGACCTGCGAATCCAGTCACATGCCTCCTCAGCTAACAGTGTCACCTTCCTCAACTGCAGAGCATTGTTATCTTGTTATTGAATGACTTCACAACAGAGTAGGAGAAAAATTTGTTGGATTTGATTGGATCTCATGATATTGACATCTATGCATGCTCAACATTGCAACATGAACCCCGACATTGCACTTGGCTTTATAAAATTGAAAAACGGTGAACCTTTTGTAATTTTGGCCCTGGTTTGTCAAGGCTTAGCACTAGCACTCAATGCTCAGCCATCGTTGCAGTCTCCAGTCTCTTTATATCTCCTGTAGGGCACTCCTGCCAATCCATGCTGATGGAGTCTATTTACTGCATGGAGGTAAGACGAGCTGTTACAGCTGTAGATACAACTCTGACTTATGTGATATATGACTAATCTGATAGACAGAAAAAAAGTTCACTAATAAGTAGTTACTATTTTCTAACCACCCATATCAATGCCTGCTTTGTGAACTAACATTGAAGCCAGTTGGGCATTTTTGGTTCAAAGAAAATCTGTTATTGTAAGTAGGACCTATGCACTGTGTTATGTATGAAAGAAGTTCCGACTCCCCAACACCGGATGAAGTGAAGCAAGAACAGACAAAGGGAAAAATCAACTCAGCTAGGCATTACCGACGACGAGGATCGAACTCGCAACCTTCGCCTAGAATTTGCATAGGAAAGCGACGCGCTACCATTGCGCTACGACGGCTTAGCGATTCATTGGATTCACTGAATTGAGTCACAGTAACATAATCATGGACTTCTTCCCACCCTTAGATTCGTTGCTAAGCTTCATGACACCCCGAGCAGCTTGTCCGAGTCGCAGGAGCATCCAAACAAGCGATTATCTCTGTACTACTTATTCGGCACCTTCCGTCTTCCATGCTCCCGCCGCGCTGTCTTCCCGGCGAGACAGCTTATCGCAGATAGGCCATTCTGCCTTGTCCCGACTGGCGAGCACTGTTAGGCGTGAGCTGACTCGCCTCCTCCCGGGCCGTATAATGCTGACGCTGTGGCTTTTCCGGGATTACATTTAGGCTGCCGACAGAGCATCCTTTTAACTCGTGCTGTCTACAATCCATTTGCAACTTTATCATGACACCAACTTTGTCCAAAAAGCTTTGACTCTTTGCCTAGCGCTCGCACATCAAAACAGACTTCGCTGGACCCTTTTTACCCCATTTCTTTCTTCTAGTCTGTCCCAGATTAGCAAAGTTGATCACACTCCCAGAATGAAATGCGCGGATTGTTCTCGACTCTTCGTTCCTTCGAGATCCGCTCTTAATGCGTTCAGTCCCATCATGGGCGACTAAACTGTAACTTCCTTCTGTCGCATCTCACGCTAAGATCTTTTCTGCTGCCAACGAGGTATCAACGTTCAACTCTCCAAAATAGCGCCCGAAATACCGTCGTTACGGGACACGAGATAATTCTATCCAGCTTTATCCTTTCTGAACAAGACACACCTTCAAAGGTATTCTTCATCACCTCCCTCACGACTCGGTGGCTAACAGCTAACTTTCATCACAGATCAGGCCTCAGGTCGCGTGAGAGTGATTCCAGTTGCTGATGATTCCCATGCAATTGATTGACCGCAAATCTCGTGCGGCAGTTGTGGAGGTGCAGCGGCAATAATATCGTGTGTGGCCAGTCCATCTGCCTCTGGTTACTTTCTCTCGTAAAAGTTTAAAGCGACTTACACTTCTCTCAGGAATCATTCTTCGCTCCTGTCGTTCATAACTCAGAGCAGACATGAAAATATGCTACGTTGCTCTTAAAATCTAAGCTATATCCGACACTGATTGGATCCGGACATTTCGTTTCATATTCTAGGGCTTAGATCTCCCTTGTTCTTCTGACCAAGAACAACCTTCCGGAGTAAGTTGTAATATCAGCAACCCTGTATCATGTTCGAAGAATACAAGGACCTTCACTACGCGCATCAGTGCTGTTCTCCTGGACCCACTGAGTCACACCGTAGCCAAAGGAATCCGCGCTCCCCATAACTTCAAAGATCAAGCTCCTTCTGAAACTGATCATTCGACGTTTGTTCTCCCATCCCTTCCCATGCATCCTCTATTCTTATCCATCACTTTGTTTTCTTTTTTTCTTTCATCACACGGCGAGCCGCGAAATGTCACCATCGATGACACAGATCCCACGATTTCATACACTGGAAACTGGAACGCAAGCCAGCCTGATTCTGTAGCCTTCAACGGCAGCAATGCAGTTAGCACCGATCCTCTTGCTTTGGCAACGCTCATCTTCACAGGTAATTTATTGTCTTCCGCGCTACGAGTATTTGTTTCCTGACGCCACAATTCTGTCAGGTACTGCGGTATATTTCCTCTCTCCCGGATGGGCGTTCCCTATGAACTCCACCGTCACCCTTGATGGTGAAGGTGCGACGGTCGTGGACCTCACAGCTCCTGCGGAGCTGAGTGCCGGCAGCCACGGGGGTCCAGTGCCGGAAAGATACACTGTTTACTGGTCAAGGACCGGACTGGATAATAAGAGTCATAAGGTTGTCGTGTCTATGGCTTCCCCAGGAGGGTGGATTATCGTAGACGGGTTCATGTGAGCAGCTTTCCGCCTTTATACCGTGTTTGGAGCTGACGATGTTAATAGATTTACGGTTGATGATGACACAAATAATACGGCGAGCGTAGAGAGTTCTACTTTGCTGCCTGCCGGGTCTAGTAGTCTTGTCGATCAGGCATCTTCGACTTCTCTTTTTGCCTCTGCGACTACAGCTGCCCGGAGTTCCGGCAACGATGCTAGTGACAGTATCGATGGTCTGGTCATCGGACTCGGGGTCTCTTTCAGTGTGTTGGCTACGCTTGGATGCATGGCAGGTTGTTTGTTATGCCGCAGACGCCAGCTTCGTCGCCGTAACCAGACATCTCCATCGTCGACGTCGGCCCCAATCTTGTATGAGGGTCTGCCCCAAGCCAACACTTCATCACATCCTGCCGTGCCCTTTTTCGTAGCTAACCCGGATCCGGGGAGTGAGGGCTCCATGATCGGGAGACGCTATATCCTGGAGAAGAGCGTGCAGCGCAGAGTCGTCCTGGAAGACGTGATTGCGCCTCCCCCTGCGTATTCTGTCTAACGTCCCTCTGTTCGAAATGTCTGTTGTTCTGTGATACACGGCATACCTATTCTTCGGTCCACTTCAGTGCGTATATTTCTATGTCACGCTTTAGTTGCCGCTTCGGGATCGCTCTGAATGGGCAGAGGTGCTCGGTTTTTCTTTGGAGTTCTGTAGCTCGGACAGTATCATTATAATTTTCGAGGGATAGGATAGTCATTGACCTAGCTTCTTGAGTATTATATTTGAACCAATACGATGGCTCTGCCTCGGTGAAGACAGGTTATTGCTTAGTGCGGTGATGGACGCCGCGGTAGCGTTTGAGGATCTGTCGCTCTTTTGGGTCCTAGATCCTGGTTTCCATCCTGGTGAACCGTTTCGTGATTCATCTCTAGTCAAATACATACATACCAGGGGGCTGTTATCGGTCAATACCTAGTACATGGAACGGGCCGAAGTATTGTTTCAGAGAGCATCCCCTTTCGCAGGTGCGGATCATGAATATCTAGCGATGGAAAGGGTCGAAATTGATCCAAGCAAATAACAACATGTTGGATAACGTTCTCACTTCCCTTTGCGTGTGGGTGTGGTGTATGTACCGGCGCCAGGGTGATCTCGGCCGATGGGCCCGGGACAGCCGACACTTCTACGCATCGGGACCACATAAGCCGATACGTCCGACGCCGGCGGCGGCAAGCTGACATCTTGGTTCTGATTCAACGCCCAACTCCTTCAGCCGGGCTTCTGATTACCTACGGCCTGACATCGACATTTCCTCCACTTGGGCTGGCGCAATGCCTGTCCCAATGATTCCATCCCTCTTTTCAGTGAGTATTCTCTTCGGCTAGCTCGAGATCTAACTTTCGAGTTTTCCCTTGGGGATACAAGCAGGACGAAGGACGAAATTGCGCTGGGGACTCAAAGAACCTCGAAACGTGACCAAAACTTTTACGTGGCCGAAGGGTGTCCCTTCGGGGTCGGTGTGGAGAAATTGGGATGCCCATCAAGATCAGATTCGGACAGTAGATCACCAACCGGCTTTCTACTGTCGATATCCTCTTCGAACGGCAGAAACCCAAGGGCGGTACGTGCAATAAATATTACGTCATGCTCAATTGAATCAAGCAAAGGCACATAGTGAGATATATATTGTCCTGAATGGTTAGCTGTTCTGGAAATTCGTCGCTGGCGCTGGCGCTTTGATCGTTGCCTTAGGACCAAGAAAAGATTTTTTAACCTTTCTTGAAGATCTCTCAGCGAAGACAAACCATCGAAGCACTATGATTCTCCTGCACCGTGCTCGCTGTTAATTCGTATTCTGAATCTTCACGGCTTAATCAGGTCTGAGGGACTGATGGCACGGGAGTCACCCTGCCACGCGCCTAAGGGCGCCTGGATACCAACTTTTGTCGACTCTGTTCCAATCTCAAACATCGTCTCCATCATGTTATCATGCTGGTCGTCTGTTCACTCCAGAAAATACAAGGTCGCAGAGGGAAACGATGGCTAGCGTTCACCAACGGCGACCATTGCTTATTTACCGTCACTGGTCCTTGATCAGCCCCGTACATTCAATTAACTTTGGAACACGTGGCAGTGCCTACCTTGAGGCTGTCAACAGAAGCACGAAGCAGGGTCGTAGCCTCTCTGTTCTTTCGATATTATGTCCAAATCTGACTGATGAGCTATACGCGGAGGCCCTTGTTGCTTCGCATTTTTTTCTCTCCTTTCTACCACCACCTCCTTCCTCTCGAACGCCTTTCCGTCCCATGGCGCTACATACGACCGTCCCGCTTGGTGCCGAGCTCATCCCACACTCGTATTCACCCAGGCGCCCAAAAAGCGGGTCTCTCTCACCTTCGCACATTTTTCTGGATGACGGATCATCCCATTGGCTTCCACCGCCGGCAAACATTACGCAGGGAGGCTACGGGCTGAGCTGTGATACGGGTCCATTCTTGATGCAAAGCGGGGCTCCAGACGCGACCTCCACTCATCAACCTCAACGCGCGTACACCGTCGCGTCGTCTCCGCTAAGCATGAACTTCGACTCCGATACGACGCCATTTACACGAAGACCCTTACAATTGACGACGGTGTGTCTTCTGATCTCTTAACATAATCCTTTTCCCTAACATTTCCATAGGACTCCCAGTTTCACCCCCAAATTCCCTTGACTGCAACTGCTGCAGCTGGATTCGCTGGTCTTTCATCCCATACTGAGTACACCATGAGCGGAAATTACGTTTCTCATCGTGACGACAGCGAATGCGGATCGTGGCAGAACCACAATATCATACCGGCACCGACCCTCGTCCATGATTACCCTTCTTATGGGGTCTCGAGTTTTCGTCCTGCGGATCCCACTACCCGGTCGTCCCAAGTAAGTTATGGTTCTCCTTTTGCATTTCTTGGAGCTGACGTGAAATTAGTACAATAATTCTCCCCAGCAGCACCAGCTCCATACGGTTCCCAATCATACGCACTTTAACTACACCGACGCCTTCTCTGAAGCGATCGCGTCTCCTGTTCCATCCTTTCCTGCATCCATGAACAGCTTTTTCAATACCGATGCGCAGATAATGGCCGAATCGTCTTACCCTGGCCAATTTGGGCAC